TATACGGGATCGGTAAATACTGCATTTGCACCCCAGGGCGGGAGTCAGGAATGGCGGGTGCTGCCTCCCGCTTGTATACACAGGGCAGTCCTGAAATCGCAGAAAACACACCAGATCTCGGGGCCAGGCCCTTGCAGTAAGGCTGGGTTTTTCTGCTGGCTAAATGCAAAAAAAACAGCTAATGCATTTTTCTCTGGAAGTTTAAATTTTCCTCCATAATGCCGAATGCCGTTGTCCGGCACCTGCTAGCGTGCCCTCACCCCTCCAGACAGAGCGGATGCTGGACGAAGCCCCACGGGGACGGTCAGAGCTCACCTGGGGACGCGCTTGCCGAAGCAGACGGCGAGCCTGTGAGCAACGGGTCCATGGATGACACGGTGGCAGCCCTGCCACCACCACCCTGGGCTCCCAAAGAGGACTGGGTATGGTCTGCAGAGCTGATGGTTTTGGTGCCAGTGGAGGAAACCTCTGTTGTTTGGGCCAGTCTGGTGTTGGCTGTCAGAGACCTTAACGTCCTCCCTCCGCTCTTGGTGGCTGTGGTGGACACGGTGGTACTGGTGGTAGGGAAATCGGTTCTTCCCTCTGTGAACAGGATGCTGAATGACACGTGGCTGCTTCCAGTAGCTAAGACGTGATAAAGAAACAATTTACATTTTTACACACGTGAAACTATAAATAGACGAGTTTTCTTCCAGTAACACCCAGAGGCAGCAAGTACACACACAAATAGAAAATATGAGAAGATGTCAATCCTGAGAAAATAAGAAATTTCCAAAGATGTAAATCCTTCCCACAGAAATCTGTCTTCCAAAAACATGGTTTGATGCTGAGAAAAGTGCTATTGTATAATGAACTACTAATGCTGTGCATTTGATTTCACCATTATGTGCCTGAGTGCACTCCATGCTGCTAGAACAAACAAATGCTGTAACAACCCAGAAAAGCCTGGAAATCAGTTCAGACAAGGCACAACGCTGAGCAACGTGAAGGTCTTAGAGAAGAGTTCTGAAGAAATGGGATCAGGGGCATCAGACCCCGTTAGCACCGCAGCGGGGCCTGGGACCAAACAGCGGCGCGAAGGACCTCAGAGACCACGTTCAAAGTTGCCTTAAAATTGTTGAGCTGGTTCAATTTCTGGGAAGCAGCATGGTCCAAGGGGTAGGACAGAGGGCAGGAACTGCAGTCCGGTCCCTGGGACTGCAGGGACATGATCTAATCCTTACTTGCTTAGTTCTCTTGCCTATAAAATGGAGATGGCAACTGGAGATAGTAAAAAAAGAATCGTGATTTGAAAGTTTATTATTTTTCTTGGCATAATGAAACTTTCCACATGTGTGTCCTATCTGTAAAAAACCCAAACCACATTTTTTGGTCAAGCAAGAGCTGAAATATTTCAGACACAAAACGACACTGCATCCTTCCAAACAATATATTCTGCATAGCAGAAAAACGGTCAGGCAAGTGTCAGATGTAACAGTCCTCCTTTTACTGACAAGAAAATCAGTATTTCATTTCTAACTTGAGCTCACCTGGGGAAGAACCTTCTGAAGGAGAGTGAGAGCGTGTTAGCGAAGGGTCTGCCACCCGCTCCGTGAAATCCGTGATTTCTCTGGACCCATGAGCTCCGTAGGTCTCTATCGCAGAAGATGCGGACGAGGATGGGATCGTGCCCAGCGTCCTGTACGTGCCGCTGCTGGACGTGGAGACTTCTGCTGCCCACCGGCTGCTGCCTGTGGCAGACCTCGGGGGCCTCCCACCGCTGCCCGTGGCCGTGGCTGAAATGAAAATGCTGGTGGGAGAGGAAGCAAGGGGTTTTTCCTCTGTCCTTGAGCTGTTAACGGGTCGGTGGCTGCTTCTGACACCTAAGATGCAATAAAATGCAATAAAACCAGGTTTGATTTATGCATATAGAGCTATAAATTTGAGGGATTGTTTGTACAGCGTCCGTCTCTCTACCGTTCGTTGAGAAGTTGAAGAGGCCAAGTTCTCAAGCTGGAAAAGGCGCTGTTCTGGGAAAAGGCGAATCCCTTACGCTCAAGCATATGTGGCTTACAAAAAGCCATGAACATCTCAAATTAAACCCCTGTTTTTTAACTATAGGCTGTGCACAACACCTGATTTATGCATTTAAGCTGCCTTCGAGCCTGTTTAAATCAGTATACCCCTCTCACTTCAAACCAAATCCAGAGGATGAGCTAAAAGAGGCCCAGTTTAGGTTTTCTAGC